GGATTCTTTGCTGAGACGCTAAGGAACATCAGCAATAATGGCCCGATGTTAGGAATATGAGACAGAGCTGTTGAACTGTGATGGCAGGAGTGAAAGTGCGGGTTCAATAACGGTAATGGTCGGGAATGGGAGAGAGGAGGGGGGCGGAGGGGGGGTGGTTGTAAACATATCGTATAGGTAGGGAGGTGCGAGGGGAACAAATGATTTTGAAAAAGAATGAGAGTATCTTGAAATCGAAGATGAAAGCTTACTGGTCAGAGTGAGTCCTGTAGCTCAGTGGTTAGAGCACTCGCTTTGCAAGCGAGAGACCTGAGTTCAATTCCAGACAGCGGGAAACCTTGGGCAAGTTTCTTTACTCCACACGCCTAATAATAATCCATCCAAAACCAAAAAAAAAACAAAAATAAAATAAATTGGTCATTTTCAATCTACGATTGTTTGTGGGACATTGCCGCGTGCAATTGGCTGCCGGGTTCGCCCAAAAATATACAGTCAATTCACTTTACAGTGTGTTCTGTGAAGCGCTTTGGGACGTCCACCCGACGCGAAAAGCGCTATATCAAATGCAAGGATCATTATTATTATTAGAGCACAATCAAAATAGTACTCTCCCCCAAACGAGAGGAATTGTCTTCAATTCCCGGCAGAGCAAAACTTTGAGCAAATTTACTTACTCCACACACACACACACACTCCTCTGTTTACGTAGCTGTAAGAAGGAACCCGCATGTTAGTCGATTGATGGATTGCTCTCTGTGGGTAATAAACCATTATGTCTCTGTTTGTCTGCCTGTGTCTCTCTGTGGCTGTCTCTGTGTGTGTTTGTGCATGTGTGTTTGTGTGTGTATCTCTCTCTCTCTCGATGTATTTCCGTGTCTGTGCATCTCTGTATGTGTGTATTTCTCTATCTCTCTTTTATCTCTGTGTGTACCTCTGTATCTGTCTGTATGCGTCTCTCTGTATCTGTCTTTGTATGCCTCTGTATCTCTCTCTCTGTATATCTGTGTATGTCTGTACTTCTATGTTTGCGTGTGTCTCTGTATTTCTCGCACTGTCTCTGTGTATCGGTATTTGTATCGCTTTATCCTTGTGTAATTTTGTCTGTTTGTATGTGTGTTTCTCTCTCTCGGTATCCCTATCCGTGTCCATGTGTGCAACAGAATGTCTGTATTTAAAACTCGCTCTTCCTGTACGTGTTTCTCTCTCTGCGTATCTGTGTGTGTTTCTATGTTTGTGTGTGTGTCACTTTCTCTCTCTGTTTCACTGTATATGTGTGTGAGCGTATCTCTCTGCGTCTCCGTGTCTCTGTCTCTCTGTGTGAGTGTGTATCTTTATGTGTCTCAGCCTTTCTGTCTGTATGCCTGTGTTTGTCTGTCTCTCTGTTCATGTCTCTCCGTGTCTGTTTCAGTGTTTCTCGCTGTGTCTCTGTCTTTCTCTCTCTATGTCTGTGTGTTTCTATCTCACTGTTCATATCTCACGATGTGAGCGTTTCGCTCTGTGTCTTGTCTCTCTCTTCCCGTTTGTATGTATCTTTGTGTGTGGGTCTGTCTCTTTCTCTGTGTGTCTGTGTGTATCTCCGTGTATGGTTGTCTATATCTTTTTGTGTCTGTGTGTGTGCATGTTTCCCCATGTCTCTCTCTTTTTCTCTGTCTGTGTTCATGTATCACTCCTTGTCTCTGTATATCTCTATATTATTATATGAGTATATCTCTCTGTATGTGTTTATGTATGTCGCTCTATATGTGCACATTTGTTTCTCTCTCTCTCTGTATGTGCGCATCTCTGTTTCTCTGTTACCTGTAACTGTGTGATTGTATGTGTGTGTATTTTCCCCTCTCTTTCTGTCTGGTTCACTCTGTCCGTGTGCTTCTGTATATTAGTCTTTCTGTATTTAGCTTGTATGTGTGTGTGAGAGAGCGTTTACCCTTTATCTGTCTTCTCCCTGCCCCTGTGAGCATGCACTTATATTTGAGTACCTCCCTCCAAATTTGTCTGAGTGTGTAACTCTCTTTTTGCCTGTATCTGTGTGAATATCCCTACCTCTGTGTCACGATATCTCTCAAAGAGCGTCTCTCTGTGTGTGTAGCTCTCTATCTTTGTCGTTATGTGTGTATCTCCCGCTGTATGTGTCTGCCTATCATATGTATATATGTGTGCATCTCTCAACCCCCATCACTCTCTAATTGTTTTCTCATGTATGTGACGGTATGAGTGTGTCTGTGTGTGAATCTATGTATCAATCACTATTTGTGAGTGTCTCTGAATCAGATTCTCTCTCTCTGTTTCTCTCTGTGTGAATGTGTTTCTCTGTGTGTACGTGTTGTTCTGCGTACGTCTTTGTGTGTATATATCTGTGTATGTCTACGTGTGTGTGTATGCATGTCTATCTGTGTAGGTGTGGAGCTGCTATCACACATCAGGGTTTCCTAGGCCTCAGCATACAGAGCAGAAACACCTGAGTCTGTGACAGTCATTTTGAGCATCTGTTAATCTGCTAAGGCAAGATATAACCTGTGTTGTGTTGGTAACGCCAAGTCAACTCACTACAACATGGTTTACAGTTCAAACTAACAGCATTTACACCAAAACTACAATATCAACTGTCTGATTATCAGTAAACCAAACCGCCGTAGTTCGAGCTCTTGCTATATGTTGATGGCATTTGAGCTGCGTTTGATTTACATGTTCTGTTGTCCTTTGCTCTCGTGCTCTAACTGATAGCAGCAGAAAGGAACAAGAGGCTGTGAGTTCAGGTCTGCACATCCCTTGTGGTTAGTTATACTAGCGCCTGGTTTCCTGTCTTCGTTTACAAAGAAATGCAGACCAAGGACGAGGAGCTTTAACTGTTGACAGATAACCAACTGGCTTCTCATTGTGGCCATATGGAGCAGGGAGGGCAATTCCCTGTGTCGTGGGCTGTCTTTGTGTGTGTGTATGGATGCCAATGCCCCCACTGTGTGCACTGCCTGTCCTGGGATGTGTGTGTATGGGGAGGGCAGTGCCCACACCAAGTGTTCTACGTGTCCCGGGGTGTGTGTGTGTGTGTTTTGGGAGGGCAGTGCCCACACCGAGTCTTCTACCAGTCCCGGGCTGTGTGTGTGTGTGTGTGTGTAGGGAAGCCAGTGCAAATAATTCGTAATCTACCCTGTCCCAGGCCGTTTGTGACACTAGCAGCATTAAACCAGCCGTAACTGATAATCCACCAACAGCTTAAAAACAGAATATATATTTATTTAGTGATATATATTTACACTTATTTAAACAGAAAGGAAACAAAAGCAATTTACTATTATCCCGTTTCAGGATGTGACAGAGCAGCCCAATGTAGCGATCTCGGGGGGGGGGGGGGGGGGGCTTGTGTGCGGCCTTCACTGCGCTCCCACTTTGCTGAAGGGACCAAAGCTGCCACACGTCAGAGTCCTTCCAGCCTTTGTAGGGCGCAGTTATAAGGTAGGTTTTATGCTACAATCTCTGTAGTGCTGTGTATGGTGAATCCATCGGAATCTCTGCTACGGAACCCCTTTTAAATGTGTACCAATTATTTTATGTTTCTTTTCCCCATTCTTTCTCCCAAAATGCATCACCTCGCACTTCTCCACATCAAATTGCATCTGACGTGTGTCTGCCCACTTCACTAGATTGTCTGTGGCCTCCTGCCTTCTGCTGCCATCCACTTCACTGTTCAGCACATTCTCAAATTTCGTGTTATCTACAAACTTAAACATGATGCTTTTTATACCCAAGTCATTCAAATATATCATACAGAACAGTGGACCTAATCCCGACCCCTGGGGGACACCACTGTATTTGGTGTGAAAGACAACCATTTAATACTAACCGCTGCTTTCTATCTCCCAGACAATTGGTGTCCATGTTGCCACTAACCCTTTTATACTATGACCTTCAGTTTTTCTAACTCGTGTATTATGTAGCACCTTCACCAACATTTTCTGAAAGCTAAAATGCACTACATCAATTGCATTACCTTCATCAATCCTGTCCATTATATTATCAAGGAACTCAATTACGTTTGTCAGACACAATTTGCCATGAGCAAATCTGTTTTGACTATCATTAGTTAGCTCATGATTTTCCAAGTGAAGAATAATTTTGTCCGAGATTTGGGGCTCTAGAATTTTCCTCAACATTGACGTAAGGCTGACTGGCCTTTGTTTGCCAGATTCATCCATCTCCCTTTTTTTGAACATTTGCACCCCCACAGTCCTCGGGCACTACTCCCGTATCCAAGAAGTTTTAAAGGTTTGTGGCCAGAGCATCCGCTATTTCCACCTAAACTTCCCTCAGCAATCTAGATTGCATTCTATCTTTTAAGTATCTGCTCTCTCTTTTTATCCTATCCAATTTCTCTACCTCCTCCTCTTTTATTATGACATGAGCAACATTCTATTTTTTGAAGACAGAAGCAATGTACTCATTCAGACATCAATCTTGCTTTCTGCCTCGACGAGAAGCTTTCCTTGTTGGTCGATAATCGACCCCACCATTGCTTTGACCATCTTTCACTCTTTGTTTTTTCGTTGAATCACTTTCAAGTGTTTTGGCATTTTGTCTAATTCCCTTTTGAAACCCAATATGAATTCTGCCTCAACCACTTCTCCCGCAGAACATTCCAGATCCTGACTGCTTTGTGCATGGAAAAAGTTCTCCTGATCTGCAACATTCTGCCTGTCTATATATACTTCTCTTTCACTGGTTACCTCTGGAAGGTGTTGATTCCCCAGCTGGGGTCGGTCCTTACTGTACTCTTTAATGCTTGAGTGTGGGTCACTTGCCTCAGTTCGTAGCTCTCTGTCCTCTCAGACAAAAGGTTGTGCTTCTAAGCCCCACAATCCATGAGGAAATCATGAGGAACTCGACCTGCTGTGGACATAAGTGCATATAACAGGCAGGACAAGCAGAGTCAATGTATTTGCTGCAGATTTGTGTCACCACATGAGCAATCTGAAACTCGCTCCATTTAATATTGAGCTCTGTTACAGGATGGGAGCCTGCTGTTCTAAAGCAGCCTCTGGGAAGAAATGCAAAGGACAAAGCAGGCAGGCCTCAGCTTGTCACAATGCACGGGTTGTGGAACAGGAAAGAGATCGTCCACCAGAGGGCTCTACACTTGATGGTAACCAACCTGAAGAACGCGCTGCGGGTGATGGTAACGACCCTAAAGTGGGCGTTGCAGTTGATGCTAACCAACCGACAGAAGGCGCGACACGTGATGGTAACCAACCTACAGTGGGCGCTGCAGGTGATGGTAACCAACCTACAGAGGAATCTGCAGGTGATGGTAACCAACATACATTGGGCGACACAGTTGGTGGCGACTGGCCAATGGAGGGTACTACAGGTGATGGTAAACAACCTACAGAGGGCAATACAGGTGGCGGTAACGAACCTACAGTGGTCGCCGCACGTGGTGGCAACTGGTCAACAGAGGGCGCTACAGGTGATGGTAACCAATCTACAGACGGCGCTACAGGTGATGGTAACCAACCTACAGAGGTCGTGACAGGGGATGGCAACCTGCCAACGGAGGGCACTACAGGTGATGGTAACCAACCTACAGAGGGCGCTACAGGTGACTGTAACGAACCTACAGTGGGCGCCGCACGTGGTGGCGACTGGCCAACAGAAGGCGCTACAGGTGATGGTAACCAACCTACAGACGGCGCTACAGGTTATGGTAACCAACCTACAGAGGTCGTGACAGGGGATGGCAACCTGCCAACGGAGGGCACTACAGGTGATCATAACCAAGCTACAGAGGGCGCTACAGGTGATGGTAACCAACCTACAGTGGGCCCCGCAGGTGGTGGCGACTGGCCAACAGAGGGCGCTACAGGTGATGGTAACCAACCTACAGACGGCGCTACAGGTGATGGTAACCAACCTACAGAGGGCGCTACAGGTGATGGCAACCAACCTACAGAGGGCGCTACAGGTGATGGTAACCGACCTACAGAGGGCGTTACACGTGATAGCTACTCGCCAACAAAGGGCGCTGCAGGTGATGGTGAGCGGCAGACAGTTGAGAAAATCCACGAATCCGCAAGCGCTGCAGAAACAGGTACGTAAAATATTTTGTGATTTCCGATCCCCGAGTTTCGAATCAATGACCAGACAATCCAATAAACAGTTAACCGAGGAAATCCAGAAATGAGTTACTCGATATTTCCCGATCTTCCGACCCCGGACAGGGGAGATGTTTGCAAAAGCGCCTTGTTTCTCTTCTGCCTCCCACTGTACGTAAATATATATTAGAATCAGTATGGATTCCACTGGGAATTGCGCTGACCCTCTACACATCTCAGACTGTTCCAATTGGAATAATTCCAATTGTCACTGTAGCTCCCCTTGTCACAGACATAGATAGCATTCCCCTCACAAGCTGCTAACCACCTATGAGCATGCTCTAGGCAGCCTTCCACATCAGGCTTGTTTCTCAGCCTTCAGAGAGGCAGGCATTGGGACTGTAGCCGTTTAATCCGAAGCTGACGTCAACTGGTCCAGTAAAGCTACATTTAACTATCAAACCTTCTGGAACATTCGGTTGCTGTTTGAAATAATAATAATAAAAATAATCCTTGCATTTGATAGAGCGATTTTCACGTCTTCTAGACGTTTCAAAGCACTTCATGGCATAAACTGTAAAGTGAACTGACGGTATATTTGTGGGCGAAACTCGGCATCCAATTCCGCACACCAGCGTCCCACAAACAGTGATGGATTGAAAATGACCAAGTTATTATTCTTTTGTTCTTTGGAGGGATTATTATCAGGTATGTGTAAGGAAACTTGCCCACGGTTCAGCCCTGCCTGGAATTGAAATCAGCTGGCTCGCTTGCAAGGCAAGTACTCTGAACGCTGAGCTACAAGACTTTAGTATACCAATCTATCCTGCGGTGATAATCAATATACTTCAACACTCCCCATCTTGAAAGTGAGAACATAAGTTTTTACATCTCTCAATTATCTATGATTATCTGACAAAGTCCATCTCGGAGGACAATGGTGTTCTGAAAGAAGATGAGGTAATTGCTTAACTGTAGATCATCAGATTGCACCCGGGTTGCCCTTGTCTGAAATGCTGTACACTGTCCAGAGCTTTGGGACGACCTCTGTTGTGAAAGGCCCTATACAAATTAAATCTTGTTGTTGTTAATAGGAGTGAAAATAACATAAAAGACACAATCACCAAAGCATAAGGCATGTGTAATAAAGCTCAGTGCACAGCCGCTTTGGTTAGGAATCGACTTATTAATGTGGTTCAATCAATGCTGATTGCAGAATATCACTTCTTAAGATCGGTTAGACTTGTCTTCTTCAGGAACCTGCATATTATTCTATTAGCAGACTTCGTTCAGGGAAGGATAATCCCTTCAAAATGATCATAGTAATTATAATATGCTACTCAATTTGGGATGTTGCTGTGCTTAACGGGGTGTCGCATTTCGCCCACAAAACACACAATGACTACTCTTTATATAATGTCCTGTGAAACGCATTGAGACGTCACAAAAACGTGGCCAGGCTCTATATTAAAATCAAGGATTATTATTATTGATGTCAGCAGTTCAATTCTACATCCTGATGTCTACTGTGTGAATGTGAGATGATGTAGCATTGCTCTTTGCAAATTTGCTACCACATTCACTTAAAAACACCACAGTAACTTTACAGCAAACCGCGAGAAAGATTTCAGCTGTCGGGCCAATGTGAAAAACGTAATATAAACTCCAATAATCATTCTATAATTACATCGATTATAAAATGTTACAGAGGAAATACACATATTGTTAATCACAGTGAGATGAGGAGCATGCGAAGAGTTGTAGACAGATAACCAGATATAGTATACAGACATACACATATTCACATGGACACACACACTTACTCACGCACTCTTTCACATACCTAGACAGACCCACGCCAATGGCCATTTCGGGGAAGAGAATTCCAGATTTCGACCATCCTTTGAATGATTAAATGCTTGCTAGTTTCACTCGTAAATTACATGGTTTTAATTTTAAGACTATACTCCCTTGTTTTGGATTCCCACCAGAGGAAATAGCTTATCTGTATCTACCCGATCGAATCCGTTTGTCTTATTAAATCCCTCAATCAAATCCCCAACTCAACCGTCTTAACTCTAGGGAATCCAATCCAAGTTTACGCAGCCCTTCTTGGTAACTTAACACTTTTAGGCCTGATCATATTCTGGTGAACCTGCACTGCAACCTCTCCTGGGCGAATATATCTTTCCTGAGGTGTGGTGCCCAAAACTGAATGCAGTCTCCAGATGGGGTCTGACATTTGCTCTACACAGCTGGAATATCATTTCTTCCCGTTTGTATTCCAGGCTCTTGAGATAAAGCCAACATTCCATTCCAATTTCCGTTGACTTTTGCAGCTGGAAACTAATTTTTAGAAAGCAGTGGTTAACGATACCCAGAGCTCTTTGCTCCACATTTCTTAATTTCTCCCAATTAAGAAAATATTCGGTTTCATTTTTCTCAGATGACCTCATACTTCCCAATATTGAAAACATTTGCCACAGCTTTGCCCACTCACATGTTCTGTCTAAATCCCTTTGTAAATTTCTACTCCTATCTACACAACTTACTCGCCTACCTACTTCACCCCTCACGCTACTGAAACCCTGGTCCACGCCTTTATCACCTCAAGGCTGGACTATGGGAACTCTCTCCTCGTCGGCCTTCCCGGCACCTCCCTCCACACTGCAGGTCATTCAGAACTCTGCAGCTCGTGTATTGTCCCGCACTAGGCTTCGGGACCACATTACTCCCACCCTCGCTCGCCTCCACTGGCTCCCCATTCCCCAGAGGATCGACTTCAGAATCCTCATCCTCACCGACAAGGCCATTCACGGCCCTCCCTCGTACCTCTCCGACCTAATATCCCCCTACCTACCTGTCCGTACCCTCCGTTCCTCTGGCTCCGGTATGCTCCACATCCCCCGCCCCAATCGCCCTACCATCGGTGGCGGGGCCTTCAGCCTCTCAACCCCTAGGCTCTGGAACTATCCCCCATTGCCTTCGCCTTGCCTCCTACCTTTCCTCCTTGAAGGCCGGTCTCAAGACCTTTCTCTTTGACCGAGCCTTCAGCTCCCCTCTCGACTCTCTACCCCCTCCTCGCTCTCTCACTTCACCCTGACCATTTCCCCGTTGCTCGGATCCTGACCCACCTGTACAGCGCCTTGGGACGTCCTCCTGACGTGAAAGGCGCTCTATAAATGGAATCTTGTTGTTGTAGTTGTAGCCTAATAGCTTCTTGTCGGCTGCAAACTTACATAAAGCACTTTTTATTCCTTCATCCAAGTTGTGTATGTGTATATATGACGGACAGCTAACGTTCAAGTACAGACCCCTTGTGGACACCACTTGTCACATCCCGCCAATCGGAGAACGTTTCATTTGTCCCTACACTTTGTTTCCTGCCTCCCAATCAATTTCCAAACCACGTCACAAGGTTATCTCCGATACCAAGCGCTTCCGCTTTTGCTAATAATCTTTTGTGCGGAACCTTAGCAAACGCCTCTGAAAGTCCATATGAACGACATCCATAGATACTCTCATATCCACAGTTTTATTAACTTCCTCAAAACATTCAACTAGTTTAGTCAGACACGACGTTCACTTCACAAACTCAAGCTGACTCTCTCTGACGATTTCATACCTGTCCAAGTGTTCAGTCAGTCTGCTCTGATAATGGTTTCCAGTAATTTCCATACAACTGCCGTTGAGCTGAGGTCTGTAGTTTCCTGATGTCTCCCTCCCTCCTTCCATTCTTAAAAAAAGGGATGATATTTACAACCTACTAACCTAAGGGCACAATTCCCGAATCTAATGAGTTTTGAAAAATTATGACGAATATTTCGGCAATTTCCTCTTCTCTTTACTTTAACACTAGTAAA